ACCGCAGAATAAAACTAGAATCAAGACGAAGAAAAAAAAATAAGTGCACCATGTCGATCATTGCTTCATCGTATGGTCAAATCATAGACCAGATATGTGAATGGCCTGTAAGGTACAACGGAGAGAGGGATCCATTAGAGTTTGTGAAAAGAATCGAAGAACTAGCCGACCTCAACCACATCGATATGAATCTAGTTGTCAGCACGATGCCCGTACTGCTTGAAGATAAAGGACTGTTGTGGTACCGCAACAACAATAAGCGTTGGAATCTTTGGTCAAGCTTCAAGGCAGCCTTTTTAAAATTTTTCCGTCCACATGGATATTTTGAAAGAATGGAAGAACTTCGTACAGAGCAAGTTAAAACAAGTCGAAGTCAGGTACAGGAAGCGAACAGCAATCGCCTGATAATTGAGCATTCAGAAACGATGCCATATCTAAATACCACCAAATGCGTACCAACTACAGAAACAGGGCAGAACGTTACTTACAGTGTGAATCTGAAGCCACATGGGCTACAAAATAAGAAAAGTTACCAGCAACAAAATAATTCTAAAGTTAAGCAAACAACAACACAAATAGATAGCATTACAACGTCAAAGACACCACTACTATCCAAGTCGAGCATGATACCAAGCATGCAAAGTCAAACTTACCCAGCGCGACACTCAGTAACACCGCTAGAAAATATACAAGAGCAAACCTCAAGTAAATACCTCGTAGTACCATTGCAACATCCCAGACCTATCGAAGAGTTACAAATTCCAACACAAGAAGTACAACATCTGCGTTGTTCGAAACTCATCAAAGAAAATTCGAAAGTACAACCACAACAAGGATTACAAACCGTTACGCCAGTCGAAGAAAACCCTCATGCGCAAGATGCACAAACACAACAGTTTAAAGAAAACCACTGATTACATCATTGACCGAATTAAAGGCACAAGTTGTAACACGAGAGGTACAACCACAACCCGTCAAAGAAAGTCCGCAGGTGCTAGACACACATCCGCAACGGGATCCTCATTTCCACGAAGAACAACCGATCACACCATCGAGCGAATCACAGATAAGAGATATTCCAGTACAACAAGATCGACAGAAGATTACAGTCATCATTACAAAAACAAGTCAGGTTCAACTGAAGCAAGCAGCACCAAGTTCTCCAGCATCACCAGGTCCTCAACAAATCTCGCTCATTCACGCCCTTCAACAAAAACAACTATCACAACAAGAGAAAGTTCGTTCTATGCAGCCGGAAGAAATGTTGAAAAATCCTCTGACACAAGCACGATGTCTCAGAATTCGAAATTCATCCAGCATTCAAAATCTGCCGAAACCAACTGATAATGTGGAATTGATTCAGCAGAAGGGTTGTGTTCATTATAGCAAACGCCAAGACGAATTTTTCAAAGTATTTAAGTGTCCCAAGAAACGAAAAAGAAACTGTGCAAGCAGATAGGAATTTAGTTTTTTCGCTTACCGAAAATAAGGAGGGAATGTAATGATCAATTTTTGAAGTAAAAAATAAAATTGATCTTACAATGATGATTCTTTTTTTTTAAAAAATAATTTAAAAAAAAAAATAATAAATAAAAAAAATCACTGACATCCAAACACGCTTATAAAAATTATAACAAAAAAAACCTGCAATATGAGAAATGTCATTTTAATTTGTTTTGTTATAATTTTCGTTTGATCACCAAAAGTTGCAATGAGTAATAAGAGAAGCTGAGAATGCAGCGTAAACATTGCAAGGTAAGAGAATCAATAACAAAATAATGGAAAGCTTTCGTGAGTCTCGAAGTAAAAAACATTAATTAAGTGCATTGACCGAGAAATGGCGGATTAAAAAGTATAAGTTAAGAAGCCACATGGGCTACAAAATAAGAAAAGTTACCAGCAACAAAATAATTCTAAAGTTAAGCAAACAACAACACAAATAGATAGCATTACAACGTCAAAGACACCACTACTATCCAAGTGGAGCATGATACCAAGCATGCAAAGTCAAACTTACCCAGCGCGACACTCAGTAACACCGCTAGAAAATATACAAGAGCAAACCTCAAGTAAATACCTCGTAGTACCATAGCAACATCCCAGACCTATCGAAGAGTTACAAATTCCAACACAAGAAGTACAACATCTGCGTTGTTCGAAACTCATCAAAGAAAATTCGAAAGTACAACCACAGCAAGGATTACAAACCGTTACGCCAGTCGAAGAAAACCCTCATGCGCAAGATGCACAAACACAACAGTTTAAAGAAAACCACTGATTACATCATTGACCGAATTAAAGGCACAAGTTGTAACACGAGAGGTACAACCACAACCCGTCAAAGAAAGTCCGCAGGTGCTAGACACACATCCGCAACGGGATCCTCATTTCCACGAAGAACAACCGATCACACCATCGAGCGAATCACAGATAAGAGATATTCCAGTACAACAAGATCGACAGAAGATTACAGTCGTCATTACAAAAACAAGTCAGGTTCAACTGAAGCAAGCAGCACCAAGTTCTCCAGCATCACCAGGTCCTCAACAAATCTCGCTCATTCACGCCCTTCAACAAAAACAACTATCACAACAAGAGAAAGTTCGTTCTATGCAGCCGGAAGAAATGTTGAATAATCCTCTGACACAAGCACGATGTCTCAGAATTCGAAATTCATCCAGCATTCAAAATCTGCCGAAACCAACTGATAATGTGGAATTGATTCAGCAGAAGGGTTGTGTTCATTATAGCAAACGCCAAGACGAATTTTTCAAAGTATTTAAGTGTCCCAAAAAACGAAAAAGAAACTGTGCAAGCAGATAGGAATTTAGTTTTTTCGCTTACCGAAAATAAGGAGGGAATGTAATGATCAATTTTTGAAGTAAAAAAAATAAAATTGATCTTACAATGATGATTCTTTTTTTTTTAAAAATAATTTAAAAAAAAAAAATAATAAATAAAAAAAATCGCTGACATCCAAACACGCTTATAAAAATTATAACAAAAAAAAAACCTGCAATATGAGAAATGTCATTTTAATTTGTTTTGTTATAATTTTCGTTTGATCGCCAAAAGTTGCAATGAGTAATAAGAGAAGCTGAGAATGCAGCGTAAACATTGCAAGGTAAGAGAATCAATAACAAAATAATGGAAAGCTTTCGTGAGTCTCGAAGTAAAAAACATTAATTAAGTGCATTGACCGAGAAACGGCGGATTAAAAAGTATAAGTTAAGCAGTTATAAAAAAAGTAAATAAAAGGAGCATTCGGAGGATTTTCTGTCTTCTTGGTGGAGTTTATTTTGAACGGAACGGGCAGAACGTATGATAGAGTTTAACTTCAGTGATCCGCAAAGAATACAAGAGAAATAAAAAAAAAAAGATATATATGAAACTCTTATCGGAAGTGGCGTGAAGATTTTAATATATAAATTTATACTCTGAAACAGTGTTTTATACCATAATAACTATCAAGTATTTTAAATATAAAAAAATTATATAAAACACCCCAATTTTTTTTTGAGAAACGTGTGTTTATCTCTAGTGCCTTTGCTTTACCGCAGAATATGTGACATTATTAACCACAAAGGAAACCAAATGAAGTGTTTAAAGAAATTAAAATATATTACTAACTAAATTATAAATACGAAATTAAACAATAGAAAAGAGTTAACATCTAACAATTTTTATATTTCAATAACATATATCCAATGAACGTTTTTTTTATATCAATAAATCAAGTATCGAATGCATTGAATGTAATAAAATCAAACTGACACCTGTTTGACAGCAACGGCGACGGCAACAGTAGCAGTGGCGCGAACGTTAACAACAATAAGGCATCAATTGCCAGAATAGCAATAATAACTAAATGAATATTGTTACCTATTACATTAATTATTTATTTACTTAGTTTTTTTTGAAAGTACTCCGAGTTAAGGTTCTTTTATATAATAATTAAGATATCCATGAAATTTAAATATAATTAATTGAAGTATGTTTTGTTTAAGCTTTTTGAAGTATTATTTAATTTTCTAAGAATATCCATGATAGTTAAATATAATTATTTGAAGTATGTTATCGTGTAATGTATTTTTTTTATAATTATTTGTAATTAATATGGCCTATTAAATTTTTTGGTTGTTGAGTTTTTTTTGTACTGAACCCTGGTATACGCTGAGTATACCCCGGCCGCGGTAGAGACCGGAAAGGTCGTTACATGACCGTAAACGACTTTCCATAGATGTAATATTTAAAGCGGTCCACAGATTCGACAACTGGTAGATCGTGGTGTGGTAGATCGACTAAAGTACGCCACCGGCTTCCAATCTCCGTTGTCATTTTGGAGTAAAACACCTGCGAGTCCGATGGCACTCTCGTCTGTATGCACTTGATGGTCAGCTTCCACTCGGTAGCCCGTTAATACTGGTCCGATTGTTAGTGCTTCATTTAGACTCACAAAGGCGTTTGTTTGTTGATCTGTCCATTTAAAGACGGCGTTAATCCGTTGGGTCCCAACTGATAACGCCGGGTGAAATCAAGACCGAAGCCATCCGAAATTTCAACGTGCCTACAACGCAAACAGAGGTGCGGCGCTATTTAGGGTTAACGGGATATTTCCGTAAGTTTATACCAGGCTACGCAATTATATCTTCAGAAAAACGCCGTCTTTAAATGAACAGATTCAATGTTAAATTAAATTCTTTTATTATACCTACAATTCGTTGAAACTTTCCGAAAGGTTCTTCTTCATCGTTGCCGCAGACAAGCATATCGTCCATGTAGTGAATCATATCGCTGGGTTCCAAGCGCGTTTTAATTTTCGCCATCAATTGTAGAAACAGGACTGGTGCGTTCTTCAACCCGAACGGCATCCGTTTAAACTCATACAGACCATCAGGAACCACAACTGCAGTATATTTACGACTGTTACGTTCTATAGGAATTTGATAATAACCACAGTTAAGATCTAACGATATGTAGATTTGGTACTTCGTTGCTTCTTATAAATTTTCTTCGATATTGGGTATTGGGTAGCATTCTTTTCGAGTGAATTGATTAATCCGACGGTAGTCCACGCAAAGTCGATGATCGCCATTCTTTTTCTTCACAAGCAACATTGGACTCGCATAACTTGATTCAGACGGAGCTATAATATCATTGTCGAGCAACTCTTGAATTTTCTTCGCAACGATTTCTTTTTTCGGTTCCGGAACTCTATACGGGAATTGTGCGATCACCTCGTTGGTCATTACCTCAATTTTCATTTCGACTCCACTAGTTTTGCCGATTAGATCCATACCTGTAGCGAAACATTCTCGGAATTCATTCATCACCTCTAACAGCTTTCCCTTAGAATCTGAATTTACAGTGTCCATACACACGTCATCTTCCGTTATTAGACTAAGTTTATTAATTTTACACGTCGTTTTTACTTTGTCTTCGAATTTGAAATGTCCGTTGTCATATACGGCGCGTATATTTTCGCTATTGAATATTTCGTCCCCGAGCAATAGATCGTAATTCAACACACAATCTTTGAAGACGTGCAACGTCATCGATTTTTCAACCTCATCGATTTTCAAATCCGTGTCGATTTGTATCTCAGATCGTTCTATACCACCACCGAATCCACCGATGGTAAATAGGTTTTTGCTGCGCGTACCACCAATATCGTTGGCAAATGTTTCCTGGACCATATTACATTCGCTTCCAGTATCAATAAATGCAATGGCTTGCTTGCCACCAATCGTTATTTTCTTAAGGAATTTATTGTCGATAATACTTGTTTTTCGTACGAAAGCTGATGGTTTTCCGCAATTTTGATGTTCATTTTTGGGGTGCACCTTATTACAATCTATACAACGAGGACGTTTTGGGGGTCTTGCACAATTTACTGACAAGTGTCCTGACTCACCACAATTGTAACACATAACATTCTTTGCCTTACTGAACGATTGTATTCTTTGTTTGCTTTCACCCGCATTATGAAAAGGCTTTTCGTTTATCTTAATGCAATTTTGTAAAAAGTTCTCGCATGCTTCACGCATTTCTTTAACGGATACGAATTTTTGCGGAGCAATCTCCATTTGTAGTTCTCTATGTTTTAATCCTTCTCGGGCGTATTTCGTGATAGCCATCTCACTAAGATTATGACGTCGTCTTAGCGCAGAGAAACGAAAAATTAACTCAGTTATTATTTCGTTTTGCCTTCGAGCAACGCGCGACATATTGTAATGTACATCCGCTTCATCGTATTCGCAACCGAACTCGGTGACAAGCTCATTTGAGAACTCCTTCCAAGTAGCATGCATTCTTGGTGATGCGTCCACCCACATGCGCGCTACACCCTTCAAACGGCTATACACTGCAAGAAGCACACTTTTTTCGGCCCACGCATATACAGACATAACAGCTTCAACACGTTCGACAAATTGCGTAGCCGTAATAGAATCTTCATTCGTTGGGTCGAATTCGGGCAAGACTTCTGCGATTTCTTGTATAGAATGCGCGTTACGGTCCTTACTAGGCATTTCTGAAGTACTGTTTTGATTGTTTCTAACGTTATTCTGGTTAATGGCTTTTAATGTAGGCCTGCACGAAAAGAAAAATTAGATATACAGATATTAAGAGTGCAACTAAGATATTACCTCGGGTTACCCGCGACGCCCAGCTCCACTCCAAGTAGCACTAGTCTCGTCCACCAGTATTGTTTCCTCCACTGGTGATCGTGTGCTACGCCAACAGCTCTAGCACCATATTTTTCTTTTTTAATACTTATATATACAATATTTTTATTATATATATAGTATTCATTAATTTTTTTTATTATTTTTATTATTAAATGCTAACAAAGTGCATTGCCCGCACATTGCAGAATAAATAAATGGGTAAAAGCTTTTGTACAGTTTTTGTTTTGATCAAATTGACAGCAAAAGCTTTAGGAGTAGTAAAGATCAATGCTGCCAGAGCAATGCACAATGGAAGTATTAAAATAAGTTATAATGGGAAAAAAGTGGGTAATGCAGGTGGGACGTTCGGAATGTACAAAAGAAAAACATTATTAACTGAAGGTTCAAAGAACGACCTCCAAAAGTGTACGGGATGAGTTTACAACGGGTGAAATTACGGAAGGATAATAGATATGAAAAGGAAAGAGTGGTTGCTAGTTTTCTTCTTGAACAAATGATTTGAACGGTGACGGTCGATGTCCGCGAGCAGTTAGAAAAGTTTTTTTATTGGTGGAATTTAAAATATATGATTGAAATATATTAGCTAATAGATAAAGTGGATATTTAAAAATAAAAGAAAAATAAATATAAAATAGCTACAGCAGTAGAAAAATACCAGATGATGAATAACTAAAACTGAATACTGTAAATGATTATAATTAATAATTGTGTTGTATTAAATTATTAAAATATTAAGTGGAACAAAAAAATGTTAAAAATGACAATAGCATTTTTTTTTTTGCAATGCACTTTACATATTGTGTGAGAAATTTAATAAGTTAAAATTACATAAAAATGCACTTTTATATACAAGTTATACATATGTACGAATGTACGAAAGAAATATTCTTCACGCTTTAAACGTTTAATCTATTCCTAAAAATCGGAGGCTTAAACTATCGCCAAAGAAAACTAAAAAGTTCTAAACTAATTTGGCCACTTAACTGATGACCCTGAATTGAGAACATCCCTATCTCAGTAGCATGACTAAGGCAGCAGCAAAGAACAACAAGTGAAAAGTAAATTCACCGGATGAAGAATTAGTTACTCTAACTGATCCCTTTTTTACAAATGAATGGCACATCACGTAATAGTCTTACTGACTATGCAGAATTTGTAGAAGCTCCACAAGAAAGCAGCAACAAGATAGCAGAAACAACAATAGCTAAGTGGCGAAAAATTCATTATTTCACACGATATACCTATATCATTTTTTTTAATAATTATTTTATTATATAATTTTTATTATTTTTTTATTATTATTGAATTCTTATATCATTTATAAAATTTTTTTAATAATTATTTTACTATATAATTTTCATAATTTTTATTATTTTTTATTATTATTGAATTCTTATATCATTTATAAAATTTTTTTTAATAATTACTTTACTATATAATTTTCATAATTTTTATTATTATTTTATTATTATTGAATTCTTAATATTTGATTAAAGTAATTGTTGAAACAGGAGTCAGAAAAAAAAAGGGGAAAAGAAACATATAAACTTGATATATATGTGGGTATATAGGCAACAACCAATATACTATGAAAGTACTTAAGAGTACAGATAGAAAAAGAGTCTTAGGTTTTATTTTAATTACAGGTTTCCTGGCTGGTGACGTCACCAACGTGGAGGCTAATTCGTAAATAAGAGTAGTTGGATAAAAAAAAATGATACTTGTAATGATCCTCTCTTTGTTTGTTTATCTTTTTGCTTATTTTCTTTTTCTCTTTGGGTTTTTTTTTACTCTTGATTTACTTTTGTTAAATTTTTCTAACATTATTTGAATTTGTTTATTATTTTCTAATGTTTTTTTTATTATTTAATATTTCTTTTATTTTTATCATGTCAATAATATCATTTGCATAATTATATTTAACAAAAATGAAGTTTGTTAGTTATTTAAGCTTAGATTAAATATTTGTAACTCACCATTTATTTTTGTTTGTTTTGATTCAACCAAAAATATAAGTCATTAAAACCAATAATTTTTTTGTTTTGTTGAAATGTTAGTTAGATATGTTATATAGAAAAGAAAAATTCTAAAACATGAGGGCTTAAGAGAAGATATAGATGACAGGTGGATGTGAGAAAGGGGACAATGTTAGGTAAGGTTAAAATGAGCTAGACAGGACAGGGACGATCATGAAATTAGGGAGCTGGGCAGAATTTAACAGGGCCTGTTACTTAAGCTCAACGGTAACTGCGGTAGTGTAGTGAGGGTGGGTAGGTCCAAACCGACAGACAAGGACAGGGACAATACGGAAAAACACTGGTAGACACAGTATTACAATGAAATAGTAATAGTGGTTTTACATATTTTTTTTTGTTATTTCTACGTTCCTTATTTTTTTTTTTTTGTTTATTTGATCTACTTTGATCAAATTGATTGCAATTTTTTTTTTGAACCAAACTCTCTGGCACGATTTTTTTTATTTTTTTTGTTACGGTTCGAATGTGCTATAGCAGAGTAAAGAATCCACCCCTTTGCTGACGAGCTAGCTGGCCTCGCCACCGTGCCAGACTTTAACTCTGCTCACAAAAATATCAAAAGATGTTGAACGTAACAGGCTACTTGTTGAACCATTTGCCGCAGTTCGCTAATTTGTATTCTCAATTCTTCGTTTTCACTCCGCAATTCCTCATTATCGTTTGTAAATTGCAAAACTACGCCGCTTGACTTCACGTGTTCAGTTAATCGTGCAACTAATTCCACCTTATTGCCTGTAGTTGATAACTCTTGCTGTTGTAAGAAGTCCTTCAACTGCTCCTTCGTCAGTGACTTGATGGTCACCATCATTACGTATATATCTGCGTTCGTTTTTTTTTTATTTTTTTGCGCCAAATATTAAAACTTACGTTTTAATTACTCCCCTTTTGGCATTGATTCAATCCCACTTCTGAACTTTAAATTTGGTTTTTGAGTTAAGTACATAACTTTAATAGACTTTATTTAAATAACTTTACTTTACTTTATTTAACTGAACAAAATATTTAACAACATAACTTTAATATACTTTATTTAACTGAACAAAATATTTAATCACGACGCTATCCAACTGACGCTATTCAACGAACTTCCGGTACTCTCGTTCACTCGCTTTTGACATTCGCTGTCACACATATGTTAGGTGACCACATGTTGTTAAAATTTTAAGGTGCCCAGTTGTGCGTTTCTGATGTAGGTTAACATTAATAAGATTAAATGAAAATTTATTTCAAAAAATATGTAATAAAAATTAAATATTTTTTAATAAGAAATTAAGATATTAAATTATTTCAATAACTTCGTTAAATTTAAGCTGTAATTAAAGATAAAAAATTAAGTGAAATCTAATAACAAAATTAACTTATGTTGTTGTAAAAAATATTTAATATGCTTTTCATAACCTTACTAACGAATCTTAGTGTATAACTTACTATTAAATAAAATTTTATAAAGTAGTCCAAAATTGATATACTTAATTTTTTCAAAGTAAGATCCGTAGAACCGATCCTCTTTACTTATAACATTTCGAAACAAATACTCTTTCTCTATTAAATTCATGTACCTATTTAATATAACAAAGTTTTCAAGTACATTGTGAAATTAACTTTATTCCCATGTTTTAAATTAATAAACCTTAAAATAATAAGTAATATAAGCAATAAATG